TTCGAAGCACGGACCTTTCGGTCAGTACATCCGCGCTCTAACCACTTGAGCCATCTCGCCCCCAAGAGAGGGTGTGATCTACGGTTTTGAAAAATGAGCACATCTCTCAGACCCGTAGACATGTTGTACAAATCATAGTGTGTATTATCGTCTCATAAATTCCAGATTTCGGAAAAACTGGTCAATCAGTACTTGGTCACGGAGCGAAGAAAGCCTTTGAAACAGTCAGCCTCGAAAGATGACGACCTAGCCACCCACTCAAAGACATATTGGTATAGCATCTTGAAGACTTGGAACACTGTCAGTATCGGAAGCAAGAGAATCTCTAAGATTTTGCAGCGAGCTTTGTTTAACCTAAGTTAACTCCGATGGCAATAAATGGTTCACGATCCTCACAGGGGATGTGGAATCTAACGATGATCATACAGCAAGAGGTTAATCTTGAAAAGCCAATCAATCACTCTGAGCGGGACTCAAGCAATGGGTGCTGCAGGAGACCTCATGGTATTAAGGATGACATTGTGAAATGTGAACCTGTACATTGGGCGGTTGACTCGTGTTACTAAATCATGATGAGTCCCAATCAGGACCAGATACATAGTGGATTGATGTTCTAGAAACGAAGAAGTCTCCCTTATAATGAATCTCTATGATTCTACGTGCGGTTTCATTATGTCGTCTGAGGAAACAGATGGGTGGAGAGTTGTCATTTACTCTCAATGTATCAGCAGTGAATACCGAATGTTCCCCGATGGTGCACAGTTAAGCCCTTAAAATCAAGGCACTCCGGAGTAGAGGCCAAAACTTTCAACATCTCCGTGATCTTCCTACCGCAAGTCTACCACGTTATTCGATTAATACACGGAGGTTAGTAAAAGGAGGTTGGGAAAGCACAATAAAAACTCCAATTCTAATGCGGTGAACAGCAAAATGGATGAGAAGTCGGAAATACTACCAGAAACAATACAGCACCTCTTGATTAAGAAGAAGGAATCCCGACAACAACAGCCATAAGAATAAGTAAACACCAGGCAAAACATGACCTATGCAGAATTGCAACTATTCTCACTCGTTATAGGGGTCACATACACAGACATAGAACAGGAAGCATGAGCATTCAAAGAAGACTGGCGTGCTGATGGGGGAAACAAAGAAGCCAAAACAGCACTTACATTTCAGCAGTAGGATGCGCCCGACTAATCATTTGTGGAAAATCGATCAACACTAGCTTTACGGTCGATAGAGTATCTTCAGCGACGGCATCAAGTTCAACATCGCCCAGGCCAACCACCATCAAATTGAACTCGTTGAAGTCACCGTGAATGAGACCGAGTGAAGCAATTTTCTGGAGCATTTCCCTGGCCTGCGAATAGAGTTCTTTGGCCAACAGACCTTCCGACACACGGAAAACACTTGGAACCACTCGGGACAGGGGGCAAGAGTCAGCTACATAGGACATTACGACGGCGTTCCGATTGTGTGCTAGAGGTTGAGGTACTGCGACATGATGAGAGTGAAGAGCCTAGAGATCATGAGATTGATAAAAACAAAAGTGGAGAACTACTTTCATCATGAGAAACTCTCGGCTGGAAGCCAAGCGGTCCAAGTAGAGCCATGAGCAGGCCTTTCTGTGCTGATGATATTCTCGCTTTTCCTTGACTTTTCGGAACGATGTTCTGCCAAGACGATGGAACTTCACTACAACAGGAGAGCCAAATTCTATCTTCATCAGTTCGAACGTTGTCTCGTCAGCGATTTGCTGTCCACAGTTGTTACCGGCAATGGCCAAGTAGACATCTGATTCTTTACCAGCGCCGATCATGGTTCGCAAATCACATAACTGACCGGAGTTGAACAGCTGATGGAGAGCCAAATAGTCGTAGCCCAAATTGGTCAGCCGATAGCCGCAAACACCTGGAGAAAAAAAAACGGAAAACTAGTTCAACCTTCAGAACAACTTATTGCATTAACCAATGGAACATCGAATTGAACAAGGGGCAACATAATTGCCTCAATTCAGTCCGAGGAATCCCAGTTTACAAATAAGATCATGAACATCATGAGGTGTTGGCCGAAAATTGACAACTCACATCGGCGAGAATCAGACTCGTAGGCTACCAAGCTGTTCGACACAAGCTGGTCTTTGATCAATTTCAGAAAGCCAGAACCACTCCGTTTGCACCGAGAGATCTTTTGAGCTAATTCTAACGGGACCACTTCGTGATTCTTCATACCCATTTCAATCTAAATCAAAGAGAGTGGATAGGAGGGTCAGGTTGTTTGACTTACAGCAATCAGAGCTCTCCATGCTTCATTGGTGATGTAGCGAAAGGAATCCAATCGAATGGTTTTTGGCATCTCTATGTAGTCCAATCAATTCTGTCTCAGCAGATTAAATCGACAGAGTTCATATACCTGAAAAACAAACATTCTTAAATTGTAGGGGAGAATGGGGATTGAAAAGACGTACCAAAAATGTGCAACAACCCCATGATATCAGTGACGGAGAAGTGGAACATGATGAAATGGTGGCCGCTGGGATCGCCACACTCTCTGATGGCACCATGAAAACCTAGGGTGGTGCATCAAAGACACTGGACCTGGTGCGACCGTGTGCGCACCCATTTGAACCATTGGCTTGTGTTGAGGTTTCACTATGACGTGCACGGAGCTCTTCATACCAGGTTTGTCCCTCAGTGCATATCTTGACAAAGCATCATGGTATTCCAATCGGAAGGTAAAACAGGCAGGCCGATTTGTTTCTTAAAAACGTGTCCTGAGTAGGACTATGAACTGAAAATCATGTCGTACCACAAAAATCGGGCAGCTCGACTTGGGGCGTAGATGGTAAAAGAAAACATGTCACTCCTGACACTTTTTGCCGTACTTCCACTTATCCTTTCCACTTCCCTACCCCACCCTATAATGAATATATTTCTCCGGCTCCCAGCCCTAACTTGTTCGACTGCATCCACCGCAGTGGCAGCATAATCTGCAGTAACAGCCATAGACACCCAGAAAACAAATTTCCAAGCCTCAATCCATCTCCGCTTAGCTGCCTTCAATGTCTGTACTCGGAATTAAGCAGCGTGACCAGATGCTATTGCTCGTATGCTGGGTTCCCTACGAATTGAAGTACGCTATTAAAAATGAGAATCCTCGGACAAAAGTAGTGTAATTGAACTGCCTGTCACTTTTCCCGCTCCCAGGTGTGCATATTTTGTTACGCTGAAGCCCTTCAGCCCGGATATTGCAGTGCCGTTATTGAGTTAAGTCACCAAACAAAGGCCTATTTGGAAAGAAAGGCACATTACTCCCCGTTTATTTTCAGCACACTTCATCACAAGATAATTTTATGAAGCTCTGTTCTTTTACAACAAGCTGAAAGTTCAAAAATCGTTGCGGTAAATAAGGGCAAGAGCGCACAAGTATACAAAAAACAGAGCGATCTGGCGTCCACTATACAACTGCACTGCACCGAATTGCAGAACACCAAAACCCANACAACTGCACTGCACCGAATTGCAGAACAGCAAAACCCACCAGAAAACCAGCTTTTGACCCCAACAGGCCACACTTCTATCGGTTTCCCAACGCAGGGATACCTGATGACTGCGGTTTTGCCGGCGGCCCAGATCGGCCAAGACTGGACTTTACCGTGGTGTGATGATTTGTGGACCTCGACAACCCAATGAGCTATACTGGGGGTGTCCACGGGACACTCGCAGTCCCTCATTTCAGATAGGTGGTTGGAGCATATGTGGGTACTTATTCCGTAAAAACGGCAATGTATTTGCGTTTCCCGTCAAACACCGCTGTACTGCGGTCAGGCTTTTAAGCCAAAGGCTTTGGTTGAGGACCCTAATCGTTCTCCTCTCTAGGTGTGGATGCCCCGGCAATATTCAGGCTTACATATATCCATGAATTGCACATACACAAGTAAACTCATACCACATCGGCCGTCACGTGGTGCCTTACTTGCTGAACACAACAGGGCAGGTAAGCGAAAACGGGCTATCACTGACGCCTCCTTTCTTGCTGTTTCACATACTTTTTCTAGCTCCTCTCCCAAAACCATTTGTAACTCTCCTCTTGTAGGCCCAGCACTTAGGACTCCATTCATCCTGAGCGCCATGCGGCGCCGACATTCTAAGGCATCTCAAAACCAATCTTCAAGCCTCAACACCCAGTCTATCTGATAGCCTTCAATGTCAGCAATCTAAACCAAGCATGACAACAAGCTGCTCTTGCTCTCACACCGGACACACTTGGTATTGATGCACTGAGTATCAGAAACAAGATATCAAGATGCACACATTGGTTGAGCTAACCGCCCATCACTTTCCACTCGCCCCTGGCTGCGCACCTCTGGTGGTCCAGTGTAAGGTCGTGCTCCCGGACATGCAGTCACTGAATCATCATCATCATCATC